AATTTTTGTTCCACATGTTATAAAATATTGTGCTAAAATCAAGAGGTGGTAGAGTCACTAGATAGTCCAATTTTTTTGAATCTCCTTAGCATCTCTCTTAAAATTATACTAGCCAATGAGCACACACTCTCTGTGTGTGAACAATTTTATTTTGTTTTTTGTTTTTTTTTATTAAGGAGTGTGATTAGTTTTTAAAATTTTAAAAAGAATATGAAAAAATGATGATAAGACAATTTCTCTTAACAGGTGCATATTTTATCTTAATATTACAATTACTATTTTATCCTTCTTATGTAAATATTGTGTATCAAAAGTAGGAATATGATTGTCATTTTATCAAAAGATACGAAATTACTATTTTACCCTTCTTATGTAAGTATTGTGTATCAAAAGTGAGAGCAAAATAGGGAAAAAAGGGGCAAACGATACAAAATTACTATTTTTCCCTCCTTATGTAAGTATTGTGTATTAAAAGTGAGAGCAAAATTAGAAAAAAAAAAAGTGGCAAAAAGTTGACAATGAGAGTTCTCTTAATAATAGTATAGATTCGATTTGAGGTCCAATATACATACCAACTATTACGAGGCAAAATCTTGATTGAAATCAGGAAGAGACTCGTTTTGTCACTAATTCATCACTCAATAAGTTTTTATCGAATGAGTAATTCACTTTTAAATATGTGGCAAGCATCGATCGGTGTGTTACTCAATCTAAATTGATTGCAAAAGAGAATCTAATAGAATCTCTCATCTCCTTCAATAATCCAAACTAATTGGTTACATGATGAGAAAAAGTACGTGTCTAAGTTACACGGTAGAATCTCTCGCCTGTTTGATGCGTCTTCAAAGAGTAATGCAGCTGCCAACCCACGTGACAATGGAGTTTGGTGGGTAACTTCAGCAGAATGTGAGTGAATGGTATTCGACTACTCGAGAGGTCCAAACTGACGGTACGGTAGGCGGTGGACGGTGGAGTTGTGGCCTAAATTCGTATACTAAATGAGAGAATGAAAAGACCTACGACCTTGGGGGTTGAGGCACTGTAAACAGTAAACGTACGACCGATGGTTCGCACCTGGTGCCCCCTACCCCCCCCACCTACCAACCACCAAATAATAATTGAAATCTTGGTTTTGCTGCATTGCTATTAGTTTGGTTTGGTGCGATATGCATGCGACATGGCCTATAAATACAGCCATAGAACCACATGGATGTTAAATTCACCCAAACCTAGCATTATTCCATGGATCATCGTCACGACATAGAAGTGGCAGAAGAAGAAGGAGAACGTATGAGAAATATGCAGGTATTTCATAAATTACATATATATGGGACGAATCCGTGACACCATTGTTTTTTCCATAACTTTTGACACACGTTTTTGTGAAGCCCATTCCATAATGTATTTTAACGATCTGAGTATGCCATTTTTTAGGTCTTCCCTCAAAGATCATGTCTACCAAAAATCATCTAAATCTGAAATAGTAATCAAACAGGTCAACTTCGTAATATATTTCATGTCATGCACCTTTTTTTTCTTCATTTTTTAAAAAATTAAAAACTATAAATTGAAGTAGATATCAAATATACCCATAAATACGCATGATGAGTAAATTACCATTTCCAGTACTTCTTGGTGTGGGATAACACTCGCAACAGATGAAGTATTATAGTTTCGGTAACTTTCAAATTAAAGAATATATGATGATCGATCTAGCAATATCCAGTTAAATTTTATGCAGGTTGGAGGAGCTAGGGCGTGGGAACATCGAATTACACAGTGCAATATGATCTGCGTTGTTCCTTTTAAGTTCTACAATATTCAGCTCATTAACATTTGTTTTTGCAGCAAACGACTCGGCAGTAAATTCATCTGGAGCACTCATTTGAGCAAGAATACACAACTGATATTAATAGGCGAAGGTTCCCATCTGCAGCCCCGCGAAGAAACCTCAACCACGAAGTTTCACGAGGGGCAGCGGAGGCGTATTTTGGCCTTCGACTGTCAATATGCTAGCCGTGACTAAGAGGAGGATATATATGCATGAATTTGTTTTGATGGTCATCATAAACTCACGTTAACAAATGTTTGCTAAACTTGGCCACCGCCGCACCAACCCCCGCATCAACCACCACACCATAATCCCTACTCTCTTTTGTCCAACTCAGTGATAGCTAATCCCTCAACTAATGCAAAATACTAAGGATTTAAAAGAACATTTCATATCAAAAGATCAAGATAAAGTCCTATGATATTAATGTTGTGATGGAGGCCATTGTTGATCCTTGGCCATGCTTCATGCAAAGAAGAAACATATTTAATCATGAGTTATGGTGTTTGGATGTCCATTCCAATCTAATCAAAGCTTTTGCGACAAACAATTGAAACCATATGGTTGTGTGATTAATTTTTCGGCATTACCCTAAACCCATTTCCCATTGGGATCAAATTTGGTGTTGGAGAAATTTTTATGGATGCCTATAACTCACCTGTTATGATTTGAGTAGAATAGTAACGTCACGTGATTGTGTTCTAGATACACTAAAAAATTACTCATAAAATTAATATCCTGACATTACTCTTAAATAAATCTTACTTCATAGATTATATCTCTCCCACACACATAAATTTACCATCTTACCACCTCCTCTTTTCTTCGATGCTTCACTAAACTCCCAAGTTCCTATCTTTCAAACCAGGGCATGCCAAACACCCCTAAGAGTACTAGCACTACTACTCCTCCTACTCTTCATAGGGTTGCAAAATAGGTGGTGGCGATTAGCGCCGCATGGCAGCGCCAATCGCCAATGAGCATCGGAGGCTGCCAAGCTCAGCAGAGACCGAGGTTGCTTCACCATATAGTACTTCTCCGAACTGGTCCTCGTCTCCCTCCCAAATAAGGATTGTAGCAAAATTTTACCTTTAACAATCAAGGGCTCAATCGAATTTTACTGATTCAAGTGATAGTGATCCACAGAAAGTGATTCGAACACAAAACTTCGCGTGTACGGAGCGTCGGGAATTAATATTACAAAGTCTCGTGGCCGCATTATGGGCTATATTGGCAGCCGCACTATCACCCCACCATGAAGATTCTGGAAACGTCGCATTTCCTTGACCACCATGTATTATTAATTGTATCTTTTTTGTTTTTTTGGCAAGATCAAGCTTACCACTTTTTGTCCTTTTGTGCTTCTGTCCAATTTGTAGCAAAAATGTTGCTAAACTTGAACAAATATTTGACCATCCAAATATACGCACGTACCATAGCAAACCGATGCTCTTAATTGATTGATCTTTACCTTCGTTTACGATTAAAATTGTATGTATATCTTTTGATGCTCTTAATTGATCTTTACCTTCGTTTACGTTTAAAATTGCATGTATATCTTTTGATGGGCCAAATTCTATGGATAATTGATTTTATATTTCATGTAAAAGTGACTGTCTGCACTAAATTAATTTAAACTATGGAAAAAAAAAATTTAAAATAGAATAATTAATTAATTAAAGCCCCTAAATTTTCTAATTAAAGATAGTTAATCGTTATTAGTCATCCTAATTATCTATCATGAACAGTGCAAACGAATTCAATAAGCATAACGAATTGACATGTTCTTAACGTACGTGCATGACATATTCTTGAATTTGGATGCATTTGCAAACAGATAATATGCAAATCAGCATTTCTGCATCTATCTCCATTTTTGACCACAAACGAAGTATTTTGTATGCTTCGATCTCTCCCAAACTTTATATATAAATCCCGAACTCTTCCCTTCAACTACCCAACTCACCATTTCCGGATCAGAAATCCCAAAACGGAAAAAGCACTTTTGATTTCCGTACTCTTGATCAATAATTCAACATGGAAATGCTGACAAACGCTAATCATGCATTCGAGGATGAAAGTGCTTATGTCGACGACGATGATGTCTTTTTTGCCGAGATTAGAAGCCAGATTTTGGCCTTGACATCTGACGATGAGGATTTTCCGGACTCGAAAAGCGCAAAATATAACTCATTTAGTAGCAGTGTCACCAAACGTCCTGCAGGTCACACTATTTCATCATCACTTGGATATATAAGCTGGTTGGGAAATAAGAACGGTTGTAGTTATGCAGTACCAGCTTCCCTTGCAAAGTTGTGGGAAAACAGCAATATTACTGGGACTGGAGTTTTTATCCCACAAGCTGTAAAATCCAGAAGAGATTGCAGGCCAAGTAAATCACTCTAATCCTTTCTTAATTACGATTAATCTTTCCGCATAGAAGAAAAAGGATTTTATTCAATCTTAATTTACCAGTGACTAATTTTTGTCTGGTGTCCGGCAGGAAGGATGAACAACGACAGGAGAAGAACTTACAAGCGAGTGGAGAACATGAACAAGCAGCCATGAGCACAAGTTTGCCAACCTCAAATAATGTCACGCCCCAGAGTGTTTCAAAACAAAACAGATTGCCGACAGGCGAAAATTTTGCAGTATAGACACTGCAAGCATCATGTGCCATAAATGTTATTGGCACTCCAAAAATCTCATTCTACACTCCTCACAAGTATTTTTCTTTCATAATATAAAAAGTCTGGAGTGTAGAATAAGATTTTTGAAATGCTAATAACAATTCTCTAATTATATACCATTTTCAGGATGTATTAGTTACGATTACTCTAAAATACTAGAAATTGTAACCCAATTTATTTATTTAGTTGTATCAAATAACAAACCACAGAATATGCCATATTTGTTTTAGTTGTGTCGAGCTTGAAATTGACACAATGACTCCTAGATGCTCAAGAAACAACGCCGTTTTGATTAGGGTAGAGATTTTTTCTTCTCGTGCAGTCCTCTTTGTTTTTTAGCCTCCGAATTGAATAAATCAAAACAAAATCAAAAGGACCAAAAGAGTTCGAAAATCATTACCCTTTTGTAATATTAGGCGAGATTTTTGTAAAAGCCAAGGAATGGAACAACTAGTCCTACAATTCAGATTCCCCAAAAATGCTTCCAGTCCCCACAGACTATCTGATGCGATTAGTATAGAACATAATGCTAAAATGAGTATACATCCATCCATTTATGCCAAAGAGGACATATTCTTTTAACTTAATTACATGCTAGGGAATCACCAGTCGACCTTACCTAATTATCGACGTTTCGAAAAGCTTCATAAGGAAAAATAAGGAAAAAAAAGGGCGTCCGAAGAGTCCGAATCTGCATTTTTGATAGTTAACCATCTTCATGGTCTCGGCACTAGAGCTGGTTTACTAACAAGGGGGGAAATACCTAACTTTTTTTTGTAGGTCCTAAGGTGGGGCGGAGCTGATAGCGAACAACATTAGTCCCTAGGACGCGCTTGCCATAAAGAACTGAGTGCTCGGAGACGAGAGAAGTGCTCACTGATGACAAGAAGGGCGCGAGCTGCTTGGCGAGTGGTCAGAATCCGATGCAATTGTTGCAGAGTTTGCTGTCTCAAAAGGTCAGCCTAACAAGTAAAAAAGGTGTGCAAGTTAGTTTTTGCATATCAAATGTATTTGCATAAAAGCGCGCTTGGTTACCTGGTGAAGGAAATTCTCAAGTGTGGCCAGCTTTCCCATAGCAATTGCCATTTGGCCCATGTAGTCCGCGACATTATCAGAACCAGTGGGGCAATGACTCGGCGAGGAAAGTGTTTCCACAAGAGATTGTTGCAAAGCTTCCATCCCTTGCGACAAGGCATCTTCAGCCTGTTGGGAGGATTGCTGCAGATTGCATATTCCCATCAACTGCTGGTCTGTCAAAGGTTCGAGGTGGTTCCCAAGTATCTGAATATCCAATGACAAAAACCCGAATAAAGATAGGCCTACAGTGAAGTATATACAACTTAAAAAACAAAATCACATGGAAGATCACCTTGAGAAGTTCAGACGAGCGGAATCCACCCAACCACATAAAACACCTTTCAGCGGGCGTCTTCCACATGCCAGAGAGCATGTGAAACACATCAATCTTTGCAGCAATGCTCTTCAACCTGAATATCTCATCATAATGTGTCATTACGCTGTCAACTAGAATCCGCAATTCATTATCTCCCATATGGGAATTCACAGCTGATCGCATTTCATGTATTAGCCGCTGATGTTCTTCAAGCCAGCGTGCATACTCCAAGTTGAATGTTAAGGCCCCTGACAAGTACAATCAGTCATCAGAAACCAATGGATCAGGACATGCTTATCCAAATATCATATCATATATTCTCTACAAGTTACCCCGAACTGCAAACGATTGTTCATTGAATGCAGGACACAAGAAATTGCAAAACCTTTACAGCATTTTATGTTTCGTTTTCTTTAATTATCAAAACTAATTAAAATCTTCATGGATGCAACTGAAATAACTTACCATTTCCTGCCACTGAATGACCATGATCCCCTGGAAGTCCATCTGCAATATATATACCCTGCATTGAAACACCACCAGAAGAAATGAATAATTACATATATGTATACACACACATATTACCGATGAAAAATACAAAGTCGTTCACCTGCTGGCGGGCTCGCTGAAGCTCTTGCTCTAGCTGCGAAAGCCTAAGTCGACTATTTTCCAGCTGCTGGACATATGCCTATGTATCCAAAACGAAAACCTATAAATGATCCAAATATGTTCCATTCATTAACTTAAGACAATGTAACATTTTCATTCAACAGTTCAAGGTTGAAGAGGCTCAGTAAATTTGGGGGGAACATCAGTAAACTAGAAGGGCATCAAAAGTAAGAAAATTAGAGGAAGGGAGCAGAAAGTAAATGGTTAAAAGGGTAAATCCCACCAAAAGAGAAGTGAAAAAGGGGAGGGAGGCTAAAAAAATAAGCCTTTGCTATTAAAGAGAATGAGAAGGCTGAGAAGCATTTAAGGCAAACCAAATTTCTATTGACCTTGCAGTGAATTTTCAGGGTTGATACCAAGATTTTGTCTCAACATAGCTAAAAGATTTAGACGCTGGGTTACAGACCTACACCCTGGTATACCAGTGTGTCACGCCAAACGAATAACGCGATCCCATGTGTTTTAATGCTCTCACATGACGTTACATAATTAGTCTAAGATGTCACGGCCTAACAAAGTGTAGGGAAGCTTTCTCGTTGAAAATAAAAAGAAAAAAGACATTCAAATACGTGCTGATGGAAAGTAAAGATGTATACTTTCTTCCTTAGTCGACTCTTCTTTGCTGCTTCTCTGTTCTGGGCCAGCCTACGTAGTGTCTGTAGATAAGTTAGCTTAATGGGATTAGCATTTAAGATCGAAAATTACTTTCTAATTAATAAAATCACTTTTATCAATAATCCAAATATCCTAACCTTTTGGTCACCAGTAGTTCTTTCCTTTGCCTGCTCTGTGGAATCCACTACCATTAGTGCTCCATGCTGCACTCCATGAAGCTTAAAACAAAATCGTATCTCACATTAATCCACTGACACTAAAAAATTGGAAAGCTAAATAAAGTTTACAGTAAACTATGCAGATTTAAAGCAAATCAACTTAAGATATGGGCCAAGTTATTAAGGTACTAATTGAATTGAAAACATTCTGGAAACTATTTTTTTAACTGACAAAGCGATATTCTAAATTATTTATAATTTACGAGAGGAAGATTCGAACTATAATGCAAATGGGGCAAGCCGTAAGCACACTGCTCTAGCCAACTGACGGAACAAACGTCTTGAAGCTTGAAACATGGATGGTAATCCAAAATTCCAAATTTCAAAAGATTCTCAATTCCACCAGGCCTATAGAAAGATTCCCATGAAAAAGTATGGTAGCAGTCTAGCAGACACATATGCTCATGAAACAGAGACCAAGAGAGAGATGGTGATACATGGTTTTTGTCATCGGTGTCAACATCCGTCGAAGTGTCAGTCTGCTGGCTGTTGTCAGCCATGGCTGAATTATCACCCCAATTCTCAAAGTGTCCGTTTCCAGACGACGTCGTCCCTTTCTGCTGCTGGTACATGTATGGCTGCTGCTGTCCTGTGTCCACACACCCTCCTCCTCCTGTTCCGGTTATAGTTGATCCTATGTCTAAACACCCGCCAACGTTCAAGGTCCCGTACTGCAAGCTATCGGGTACACCGCCAACATTGTTTGCTTTTAAGCTGAACATGGAGCCTACACCAGATTAAAACCCATATATTAGAGAGAGAAAGAGACAAAAAGGAGGGGGGAGAGAGAGAGAGAGAGAGGATACTTGGGCTTAAAACAACAACATCATCGTGAGGGAAGACGGTAGCGGACTGTTCAAGCTCTCCAAGATCCGTAAAACGCGTTTGGTTCCGGTCACTGTCGTCTCCCCTGTTTTTTCACATCGCAGAAAAAACAGAGCAATTGGGTTTATCTTTTACCGCTAAAAATCCGTATACTCCCATAAATTTCAAGGCTTTATGGTTTTTACGCACAACCCATTTCTCATACGCCATTAAAACAAAACCCAGTAGAAGAAGAAACGTAAACATAAACAGTAAGAAGAGGGGAGAAAGAGAGACCTGAAATAGAAGGAAGAGTGGGAGTAGAATTCTGGGTTTGTTGACGCTGCTTTGAAGCTTTGCATTTTTTTTTTACTGATTGGGTGGTGATTTCTTCTGCCTGCATCACTTTAAAGCAAAGAAAAGGCAAAAAAAGACGATCTTCATACGACCTTTAACAGTTGGAGAGAGAGAGAGAGAGAGAGAGCAGGGTGAGTGAAGTGAAGAAAATCTTGATGTAGCTTTAAGAAGAGGATAGCGTATCAGGACATCCTGTTTAATAAATTTTAAAAGACCAGGCTTTTTATTATTGCTTTCTGACTTGGGATTTTAGCTTCCCAATACCCCAGAGCGAGAGAGAGAGAGAGAGAGAGAGAGAGAGAGGGCCTTACGTTTCCTCAGTCTCTCCCGTTAGAGCGTTTCGAACACTCTCTCCAATCTTGAAGAAATTTTTAATTTTAACGAAAACATAAATGATATATCATGTGTTTTAATAAGAATGATGAGAAATTTTATTTTTTATATTATTAATTTAACCACACAAATAAAAAATAATGGAAAAACCATCCAAACATAAGGGCAAATAATCTGCCTCCAAATTAAGGAGCGTGGGACAACTAGTCCACTTCGCCCAAGACAAAAATAAGACCCCTACTTTGTTTATTCTTTTAGCTCTAGGGTCTCTTCCTGTACTCAAGAGTATAGAGTAGTAGCGTTTAGTTCTTTCTATTTTCTTCTCTCGAGAAGAACTTTTACTAAATAGAAGTGGAATTCGTATTATTACGGAAGTATGTTAAAATTTATAATTATGTGTGATTAGTTTGAAATATTAATGTAGTGTCATCTTACTGTAAGAGAAAAACTTTGGTAAAACACTGAGATTTCATCAGTGTCCTAAACAAAAACTGCAAGCCAAACAAAGAAGTTAAAATAAGTGACATTGTGTCTAAAGTTTGAGTTGTCATGTTAGTACTTAAGGCGTAGGCAAGGCATTCTTCATTGTAGGTAAAAAGTAGAGAGGAGTATCGTTTAGATCTTTTTCAATTAAAACAGAGATCCCTACGACGCTACCTCGAGTTAATTACATATTATTATATGATAATGTTAAAACACATAACTGTGTGTGAGATAACGACACAGTTTCTTATCTTCTTTTTTGGTAAAAAAGTTTCTCTCCTCTTTTTCTCTCTCTCTCTCTCAGCTCAATCCATCTATCTCTATAGACTGTATACAATTATTATTTACTAGTAGGACTGCAAGTCCTGCAGCTGCAATATACGAATCATGGGGACGGGTGTCAGCGCGCGAAAAATGATGGATGCGAAAATCAGATTATTTTGCGGATGAGGCCAAAAATAGAATGAGCTCCTCTCCGGTTCTCTTCACGAGGTTCCTGGAAATTCTTCGTTTATATTTGTTCATCGTATATCAAGTGATCAAAAATTATTATAAATTTTTTTATTTAAAATTTAATATAAATAGTATTTGATAAAAAATTTCACAAAGAGGATCCTCATTCCTAAAAATAAAAATAGTTTAACATTAAAATAATTTAATCATTAAATTAAATCAAGAGGTGTGATATACACATAATACTTTTTACTTCTCACACACCCTTCTAATTTTCAACTGTCAGATCGGATGAATTAAAGAATATCAAAAAAACAAAAATTAATAAAAGGTGCGTGAAAAGTAAAAATGATACGTGGATAACACATCCCTAAATCACTTCCTAATTATTATTTTAATTATTAAGGGGTTGCTTGCTTGAAGGGAATGGCAAGACAGGCAGCAGATGTGGTTTTATAGCCGTAGAACTGTGTGGTAGACTCGGCAGGAACAACACAAGCCCCTCTTGTCCTGCATTTCTTGTTGTAAATATATTAGGGGTGTAAGTTCATTAACACATATTTGCGTTTTTGGATTTGCATTACATTTATAGTGCGTCCCAAAGCCGAAAAAGAATACGACGCATTTCATACGGCAATCGTACGCTTTGATGGCGTGTCCCTTTCACTCCTTCCTTCTGCTGCAGGTTTTTCGTCTTTTCTCTGTTTTTCTCTCTTGATGCTCCCGCTCTCTGCTCTCTGTGGTGTGTGCCCCTCACGTGACCTTGGGGATCTTCGGATGATACGGAAAACTGTTTCTCTAAGAATCACTTGTGATCATAAACATTTTTTTTTGAAATGATTTCTCGGAAAATATTTGGAAGGGCTATATTGAAAAGATACTAAACTTCTCAATAAATTCGCTAGAAGTAATCTTATATGTTCTAAATCAATCACACAATGCTCATGCGAGAAAGTTAATCTGCTCATACTAGAAGGGCCCACAAGGAAAAGAACCCTTTCCCACTCTAGCTTATATCCTGTAAGCAACTAGCAAGGATGCTTCCTGCAATTTCTGGACTTGTGTTTACAGCTTTTGTAATGTTGCATTGGATGACGAACACAAAGTCTCTTCTCCTGTGACTCCTTTTCCCTTGAGCCAAAAGAAGATAAATGTTGCTGCAAGCCCGCAACCGGTTCCCAACAAATAGACTTGGATGTTTTGATTAATTCACAAGTTACATATAATCGAGACATCGAAACAAAAAAGCCAAGTTATGAACAAAAACAAGTGATACCTCAAACGGGTACATCCGGTTAAACGGAAGTAACAAATCCATCATCAGAAGAACCTTTGAAAGCCTGAGAGCAAGGAACAACGGAGTTGCTTCCTCGGTCTCATTGTTCTCTCCTCAACTCTAAACCAACGCCGTGAAGGTATATGGTCTCATAGCTCTGCCTAACCAATTAACTTCAAACAAAATTCTCTACCTATCACATTTTCCCTCTTTTGTGAGTGACAAAGACCCTATAACAGTGTACATTTTTTCTCGCAGGTAACTTTTTAGGCAGGGAGTGTTTCTTGTGTGTGGTTATCAAAGTGGTGGTGGGTGAACACTTCCCTCGCTCGTGAGCTCCTATGTTGAAGACGCTGGTGTAGCATCTCCGACATCTGGTTGAAGAACTCAGCATCCCACCTGTGAATCAACAAGGGGTCTTCTGCATAACAAATATAAATAGATGTAACGGCACTTTCCACAACCGCCATCGCCAGCCCCACCTGAAAATACATGATCCATGCTAAGGTTTTCTACTCTCAAGAAAACAAGAACAAAATTACAAGACGATCAAAGGTCAAAATCCATCTCAACTTGAATAAAGATCCTGATTCAAGAAACTTACCAAGACCATTCCCATCAACATTGCAGTGGACCCCACCATAACTACTCTGTCCCTATACTTAATCCATGTCCAGATCCCGGCGGAAGTTCCAGTAATAAGCCCGCCCAAAACTGTTCCCATCAATAAAACAGCACCTGAACAATCGTAGGCAACAAGAGCCTCCACTCCAGTAGACTGAAATAACTCCCAGGCATCCCTCGCTGAATGATTGAAGCCTTTGCCAGAAACAGCTATCTGTAGGGAACGACGTCACTCACAAATAACTACTTCTCCACAACTTAAACAAAAAGCAAGAACTAAGTGATGCTCACTTAGGGTTGACATAGCACCACTGGAAAACGAGGATGATCAGTTTTAGGCAGATAATGTTGTGATTAGATACAAGGAGAGCAACACGTGAATGGAAAATCAAGTTGTTAACTTAAAATATAATCAGCCAACCTGCCTTGTACTAGAAGTCTCACATTTAAAATTATGACCCCTCTGTTTTTTACTAAAATAAATATTACCGTTGTTAATATATAGGGTAACAATTTTGGTGTTCCTTTTAACAAGATGCAAGGATTGCTATTTGTTCTTGAATTTTGCCAATTGCATACAAAGGTTGTGAGATTACTATGCAGCATTACTTGCAGTGCACCAGTTCTTTTTGGACAAAAATATGTTGCTTTAATCTCAATTGAAAATTAAAACGGCAGCGTTTGTTAACAGAAAACTACCTGCACATAGGCATACTTGTTAAAGAAACGGACAAGAGTCTCCACTAGATGGAAGAGAAAATCAACACAGCAAAGTAGGCACTCGTTGTTGCCTATCTTGGACCGGACTCCCCTGATCTGAAATATGTTTCAAAATTGTAAGAACTAAGATACTCACCCTTAAACTTAAACAGAAATATAAGGAAATCATCGTTGCAAACACATGTCTGTGTACCTTCCACCGCAGTGTCCGAATGAAAGCTGTGAAAAGTGAACCATAGCAGATACTGCCAAAAGAAGTTGTGACTGCATACCGAAGAGACTTCATCAGTGAGTTTGGAGGCATTGACGGTGCCTCCTTACCACCATGGATAAGAACAAGAAACACCATCCCAGACACTATAACATGCACAGTATTACAGAGTACTGCACCCGTCCAAAATAAGCTTATAGAGAGAACCTAAGGACATGTGCGATAGCATTATTAACGTCGTTAGCTGAGGCATTTTAATTGTTATACCGCATCCATATACCAACAACAAGAATGAAAGAAGAGCAAAACATGCCAGCTCACCACAAGAAGCCACCAGCGTCCACCATCTCCAATGCTTGAAGCTACAACACCAGCTGCCCCAAAGGACCATAATACCATCCATAAAAGCATAATAAGTATGAAAGCATATGCTACCCTCATAACTTCACGAAGACTCCATACCATCTTGACAGCTGCTTGCAGCACCAGCATGGTAAAGGGAAGTCTATTGATTAACAAAAAAGTCAGAAAGACTGCAAAGGGATCTGATCATTCCATTTCTAATTAGATATAAATTAAGACAATCCACAAGTGCAAAGAATTGTTCCTCTTGAAGCTCAATAATGGTCCAGAAAAACGAAATTTCGAAGTCATACCTGCCCACAATTGAAAGAACATACATGAACTGCAATACAGCACCAATCGCAAATGCAACACCCCAGAAAATTTGTTCCATCCAAAACAATAGAACACTAATCACAGCAAGATAAGTAGTCAAGATGTGAACCGAAACCTTCATCATGTGAGTCGCTTGAGAACGGAGGAAAAACAACCATGTCCAACCAAGAAGTGTCCCAACTCCCCCGGCAAGAGCATAAAGCAGCCAATAGTTCTCCGTCAACCCCCTTTGATTTTCCAAAAATCTCTGGGTGTACCTATCTATGTTTAGCCTATCTGTTTTCTTAAACCTATTGGTCCCCAGAACCGTAAGAGCACATCCCACCAAAATCAAATGAATCAGAAACACTCCCAACCAGAAAATGTCACGCCATCGTCGCGATGGCTCAGCAGCCAGGGCTTGACCACCATCCAGGCTCCTCCGACTCGAGACTAGATTCTATAATCAACAGAAACCAAACAACAGCAATTAAATTCAGAAGCCTTCGACATCAATTCGAGCTAAACCATCAAATTCAATTAAACCAATCAAAAAGTTAATAACTTTTCAAGCATAACATGGTCAATGGAACTGAATTTAACTTAATTAAGGTTTAAAACCTAAACAATTACAGTTTACACACGAAAATTGAACTGAAATTTCCAAGCACAGCGATAAAAAATTAAAAAAAAAAGAGCAAAAAGCTTTGTTCTTTGCAGGATTCAAAGTGGCTGGAAACTTCAAAACTAAATTTAAAAACTTCAGGCGAGTATGCAGTTACCGGATCAGCGGTGTCGATGGAGGAGGAGGAGGAGCTGTGAGAGATGCTGTTCATGCTGAGGGGGACAAAATGACGCGCATTGCCGGAAAGAACGAGAATTTGAGGGGTTTTCGTGCAGAGAGAGAAAGCGTGAGGAACAAGGCGAAGAAGGAGAGGGAGGTCAATGGAGGGGTTTAATAATTTTCAGGGTTTGGTAATCGATTAATTAAATTAAATAAGGAAATAATACTAAAGAAATGTAAAATTGGGGAAAACGAAGAGAAATGGAGGGGAAGAAACTGAAACTCAACGGCTATCAGTTAAAAAAAAGAGCTTTTCGGCTTTCGGCTTTCGGGTTAAGGTTTGAGGTTTGACCAAGAGAAGAAGCTTGTGTCCTGATTAGCAATATTGTGAAATGTGCGGGGTGTTTTTCGTAATATCGACGTCCCAATGTGAGTGACTATCTAGAAGCTTCCAGACGTGTTCGTTGGTGTGACAGTGGCAGACAATGAATTCGGCTTTTTCCTCTTTTGAGAATATTATCCACGACATGGAAGAAAATAGTGGGAATTGCAAGTTTTGTTCCTTTTGGTTGTACCACTATTAGTAGTCCAATGTACATGTGTAGAAGAAGTCATCAATTGAGCCCTGGAAGAGAAGTCGTAAATTGACACACACTAGTAATAGCAAAAGCAATATTCGGCCTAGCGAACGTCAAGTGATATAATGTTTCAACAAGACTCCCATATGATGTGGGATCGGGCAAGTGCTCTCCCTCAGTTGTGAGCGCTTGATTGTGTGGCTCACTAGATGTAGAACAAGGCTTGCAAGTATCCATACCTTCCTTATGTATGAGATCTTTACCATACTTAGCTTGATTAATAAAGATATCACATTTTTTTGTTAGGATTCAAATTTGATTGACAACTGCTACTTAGTACTACGGTCTAATGATATTCTTCTTCATTTATAAATAAGAGGTCTTAGGTTCGATTTTCGCCAAAGGCAAATTTTAACCACATTATTGCTAGCCCATTGTAAGGCTTAGCTTGCTCTCTCACCTCCTTAGTATAAATAATATCATTTATCCAAAAAGAAAAAATTTTGACTGACCACTAGTTTTATTTCAATCTAATCATTTACCAATGCATCAAATGTTAGAGTTTGGTAGAGTCGAGAAGTTATTTTAATTGAATATTGCATGACTTCTTAAATGTAAAGAATCATTTTTCTTTACTTGCAAATTATAATCTGACATGTTTACGGAAAGAACTCAATTAAATCACAAATACAAAAATTCATACACGTCTATGAAATTATGATTTGATTTTGTTTACGACAAGGAATGTATCATTACATGCAATGATACGAGTATTTTCCATTTCAATTTTTACGATATACGGAAAACAAAATGGACGGTTCGCTGGTTTCCTCTCCGGTATTTGATTTTGATTGGTGTATCATTTTCTCAAAAGCCGGCTCAATCCAAACTCAGTGGAAAAGGACCCGTAACCAGCAAATGATCAACATTTTTCAAATTTAAAATTAGTAAAAATATGACTATGGAAGGATACTTGGATTTCACGTTTCAAATTTTTTTTTATGTGCAATTCAAAACTTTGAACGCTTCAATTCAATGGCAACTACATTATGAGTTTATACTAAAATCCAAATAAAATCACTAGTCAATAAAAAAAACATTGACGGGCTTCATTGATTAGGCATTCTTTTGGGCCAAACTTGGACTTATACATGGCATGGCCCATAACCTTATGTCATCTTTAACCGACTCGGCCAAATGACCATAGGGTCAAAAATAGTTCGTTTTGACATAAAAACTATCTCCAATCGAGGGCTAGGCCAAAGGGCTTGTGGTCCCCACCCGATCAAAAATGGGAGAACTAGCCAAAGGGCTGGCCAAAAGCAGCCAGCCTTATAGCCCATCCTTCCAACGCCAGAATGTCAAGCTTGACATTTTGTCAGCCCTCTAACTCAGCCCATTTGAATGTCAAGGACTACCTGGCGTCAGCATGATGCCAGCTAGCAATGGCTAGCTGACGCATGTTGCCGTTAGGTTATCGTTGGAATATATATATATTTTTTTTTGACGAATTTAAAAAAAAATCTAATTTTTTTTCCTATAAATACCTAAGTCATTCCTACATCATTTCTCACATACTTTTCATCATTTCATACTATCTTACTTCATTTTATTTCAATTCTTCACATTCTATTCTCTTACCTCTTCCAATAATTTTTCCTTTAATTTTTTCAATAATTTTCAAATGGCCACACCTGCAATGAAAGGAAGGGCTTGGATCCGAAAAGAAGATTAAACTCTTTGCAGGGCATATGGATGGGTCTCAGAAGATAGTGTCAAGGGTAGTTATCAAACAAGTTAGGTGTTTGGAGGTGTGTGAATTCTACCCCAATATCCAGTCAATTTATTAACATTGGAACTGAAGATAATAAGCGCCGCGTAAATAGGAATCCTATCTAAATTTGCACAACCAACTATATCTCGACACGTGGCATTCAAAATCCTATCCGAAAAATTATTAAGATTACATAAGAATAATAAATCTGGAGAGTTACTCACTTTAAGGACATGTGTTACTTGAAATCCTATCTGAAAAATAATTGAGATTACATAAGGATAAGAAATCTAGAGTGTTACTCACATTAGCGACACATGTCACTCGAAATTTCATCCAAAAAATTATTGAGATTATATAAAGATAAGAAATTTGAACGCTTATTCATTTAGAGACAAGTGACATTCAAAATATGTCCGAAAACCTTATTTTAATATTGTAGTTTAATTTAAATAATCATATTAATTTAATTAAAATAATAAATTATGTTTAGCTTATGACTCTTTGGCCCCTCAGTTGGAGATGGTTTTTTGTCAAATGACTATATTTGGCCTATGACCATTTGACCCCCTCGGTTGGAAATGGTATAAAATTTAACATTGCACTGTTCATTAAAATATAATTTATTGCAGAACTATAAGACTAAAGAAAACCTTTTGACCCTCCTTTGGTTGGAATGACCTTAATTTCTTTTATGTCAAGGTCCAAGCCCAGCTGCCCAAACCATTTTCTGAGATATTTTTTTTATACATGAGTTGTTGAACATGAACTGTAAAGTTGGGTCACAACCTCAGATTCCAAGTGTTGTTTGCTGTCAACGACAAGTCTAGTGGGAAGGTAACCGTTATATCTGCAGCTTACCCTGATCACTGTATGTTAAGCTTCACAGTTTTTTTCAGTTGGCAACGGAGTGTAAGTCCGAAAAAAACGAAAATATACATGAGAACATCATTTTTGGTCACGAGAATTCAATTGTATTTGCAACTAGCAACTGATGATAAGAAAGAAAAACGTACTCAACTTAGATTGAACCTTTAACTGGATGATAAATCCAGACGAGTCAAATCATCATCAACAAAAATAAAATAAAAAGCACCTTGCGGATCCTAAATAAAAGTTAACTAAAAAAGAACATAAAAAGATATTATGCTGGTAACATGGACAGAAAACTGAACATGGTCAAAGCATAAAACCCATGATTTCCGTTCTAACATTGGTTGAGGGAGAACCCGACCACAGAATTCACTAGATCGAAACCGACACGTGTCCCTTGCTGTTGGACATTCCCAATGATTGACAGCGAAGAGGGCGTGGGCGCGAACGCAAAGCAAAACGTCCCGTCCGAGTCGACCGGTATAAGGAAATTTTTGGCCGGTAACGGTAACACTTTCCCATCGGCGAAGTGAAACGACACCGTCGGAACCTCCACGCTCTTCCTCGATGACAGGTCGTAACACGCGTCGAATAACGCTGGCCCTTTCGTAAACGGCAAGTCCTTAGTGCCTTTCATGAACGCGTCGCGAAGCACGTTGTATGTGTCCGTCTGCAGTCGAGTCACCGCCGTGCCGGAGTCGATGATGATTCCGCCGTTTCCGCTCCCGTCTATCTGGAAAGCGGACTCGGGAATCGGGAGCAATGAGCCACCGACGCTGAGTCCGGTCAGACCGAGATAGTAAAACGTGTCCAGCTGAGAGTTGCGGCGTAACGGAGCAGTAACGGCGTTGGGACGGAGCGGCGAGTTGAAATCGAGGGTCGATGCCGAGTCGGAGTCGCGGTCCACGAGGCAGTAGGAAAGTGACGTGGCATTGAGCTGGGATGGAAAAGAGAGTGAGCCGCCGCCGAGTCCGAGAAGCCCAGCCGCTCCGACGAACAAGCCCTCGTTGGTGTGGCCACAGCCGATGGCAATCTCCTTCGCCGAAGCCCCGCCTATGCTGATTGTCTCCGTCACAAAGTCGCCGACAGTGTACGAGCCGTCACCGTACGCCACCTCGTAGAGACACGTGCCGTTCCGACACTCAAACACATCGAGGGATTTGCATTGTTGGGATTCGCACGAGAGCGGCGAGAAGGAAGTCGAGGAAGCCGGCTCGAAGATAGGGTCGGCTTGCTGGTAGCAATCGGCGCAGGGTGCGCACTGCACCCAGCTGATGTCACTCCCGGTGTCGAGCACCACGTAGGCCTGACTCGGCGGTTTTCCGATCCCGACTCGGGAGAAGTACTCGCCGCTACCCTGACTCGTCCCGGAAATAATGGGGCCCTCAAAACCATCCGCATCGAGCTGTAACCCGCTGCCGGTTTCCACGGGTTTAAGGTCCGACGTGGCAACACCTCTAACAGCCAGATCCAACCGAGTGGTGAGAGATCTGACTCGGGCCGAGTCGCGCTCGAGTCGAGCCAAAGTGAGGGACTTGTAGTCGCTGTGAGAAGGCTTGTGAAGTGAAATTCGAGAGTGTAAAGGTACAGAAAGCGAGCTATGGTCTTGCTGGGACAATGCCTGTGCCGTTCTACTTAAATCCTCGGACGACAGAGCTCTTAGCGTCGTCCGAATCGAAGCGGCGACGTCGAGCACCGTCGTTTTGGAGGTCAACGGCGAGCTGCGGGAGTGGGCAACTTGGGAATGACAGTGAAAGAGGAAAGCAAAGAGAATGCAGGAGAGGAAACCCATTCCGGCCATTGAGGTGTGTTCTGGGGAGAGAGTGGGAATCCAATGCTGTTATATAAGAGGGAGAAAAGTGGGGATAAATTACTACGGGAATTCACGTAAAGGACATTGGAAGAAAACAAAGGCGGATTTGTGGGGTGGAGAGAGGAGGAGGAGGAGAGTTTGTGGATTGAATTTCAAATATCAGACTTTGTAACATTAATTGCAAGGAGTTTTTGTTTAGGGTTTCACTATCTTTGCATGTAAGCTATTAGAATTGTAGTATATGTATTGGCACGAATTGTATGTAAATTTGGCATTATTTATAATTTAACGTTTAGACCGATTTCATCACTCCATCATTAACGGTGCAGTTAGATTCGATTTAAGCTAAAATAAGTGAATAAATACAATATTATGTTAACGGGTTTTCATGTTAACATAAACGACATTTTATGTTACAGATAAAAAGTGATTTACGCATTCTCATTTTAACTTAATAATAGTAAACTTAAAAAAAATAGTTTCTTAAGGAGTTCGCTTTGGTTTGGGTTTCATTATCTTTGCATGTGTGTATTTTACTTTGGGATTTGTGATTTGCCAAAAAGATAGAGGGGAGCTTAAGGTTAAAAATCTTAATTAAATTGCACTCAAAAGATTGGGTGCTGTTTACATTGAGATTATGGGGATAAGCGTGATTGTGGTTATGTATAATGCTTTCTATATCTGACTACTCTTTTTTGACCAATTTAGAGACGAATGAGGATTATTTTCTGATTCTCTTTGTGAGGATCCTAATAATTTTTAAATTGTATATGTTTATCATGCAGTCATTTTTCATCAGATATACATATAATTAATTTTAAATAAAAATATTTAAAATAATTTATGATCGCACGATGTACCATAAATGAACATGATTTGAGGATCCATTGAGGATTCTCATTCTTTAGAGACTAAACTAATTGAGTAATGCTAGGGAGATTAAATTTTTTAAACTAAATGATATGGTTGTAGATTATTAATTAAGTGTCGGTTAATGTGCTTATCATTAAAGTAATTGAGTAATGCTAGGGAGATTAAATTTTTTAAAACTAAATGATGTGGTTGTAGATTATTAATTAAATATCGGTTAATATGCTTATTTTTTTATTAACAACACATGATTTAGTTTAAAAAAATTAATCTCTTTAGTATTACTCAAACTAATTTAAGGAGTGGTTTGTGAAGGGTTTGCTGCCCAAAAGCAAATTGAGTGGGACCTGCAGGGGGAATAGTAGTGGTCAAAATGCAAAAGTAAAAGCTTGAACTCATGTACTTGCCATGATTACCATTAATGATGCAGGACCCATAATCTAATTATGTAACAAACTAAGTATCATATTCTCATGCACCGCGTGACCGTAATTATCATTTGATGTGGCACTTATGGCCCTTGGTCAATGAAACTTTGGTGCAATGAGTATATGAGATGGATTTCTTTGTGTTTGTGTCACATATTGCGTGAGTTCATGACATATAAGTTAATAACTTATCGTATACAATTTATGGTGGGATGAGAAAATCGAATCTAATTTTCAAGTGTCAAAATAAGTACACTAGAAGTCCCATTGTTCTTTGTTATTTAATCGATGTTTCAGTTTTTTTAGCATCATGTATATTTTTATATGTCCGAGCCTAAATGGCGTAGAGAAGAACTTAATTGGCATGCATAACCATTTTCTCTTTCATTTTTGTCAATTAAGTTTTTATATAAGACACTAATTAGTTCAACCGATCTAGAGTTATAAAGGCACCCAACAACTTTTATTAGATAAAATCAAACACGGAGCATCGTTTCAACAATAGCTTCTCCCCTTTTGTGTAAGCTGTTTTAATATAAAATGAGGTGTGATAACAAACTAGGTTTTATTAGTGCTATAAAAAGTAGTTTAGGTGTCGCCTAGGCAGTAGTCAGACGGCGAGGAGGATTTGGAACAAGAAATGTTTGAGAAGTGAGTTAGAGGTTGGCAACAAGAAATATTTAATTTTTCAACCCTGTCTAAAGGTCCTTTCTCGTGGAAAGGGATCCTCTCTGGATCCCTTCCACCAAATTCACTCAATCACCTAATCCGGGCTCTTGAAATTTGATCCAACGGTTAAAGTTATTATAACTTTTAAAGGGTAACCGTTATATCAAATTTCAAGACCCCATATTGATTGATTGGGTGGAAGAAATCTGAAGATGATCCCTTTCTGAAGCATCTTTGTTTTAAAATATAAATTCTTACCAAATAATACTGAATGACCCTTCAATCTGGTTGTTTGGACATTAACTCAGCTAAGATTTTGGGCCGGCCCTTTGTTTTCATCCTTGTGGCCTTGTAATTAATTATTTTGAAATGACCACATTGACCTACGTGGTCCACAAGCCCATGAATTAATTAATGACGTATTTCATGAAGCATTATGACGTTTACAATGGTATTCTTTACAAATAATAGATTCTCAACTGATTAAAAAGGTGGCGGACGAAATAATAGACATTCTCGTCTTTTGATGCGTCATGGAATTATATTATTGCTATAAATTAAATCTTGTTTACCAATAAAGTCAAATAACAGGTAAATATATGGAAAAATTTAAAATAGGTCTAATTTTATAGATTATCTTTTATTAACATATGTAATGATAACATAAGCGTCAAACTTAAAATTGTTGATTAATCGCCATCTAATTGTACTTATCTTCATGGATTATTAAGTAATCCCCATCTAATTGACTAGATAGTTATAAAGATATGATTCCTTACGTTATTAGTAGGACTTTATCCTCTTTCAGTCTTTTTTTTTAAATATAAAAGAGTATAACGTTACTTTCTAGCAATTCTAATTTGTAGATCTGTGGATGATATTTTTTAGTAAAAAATCTTATTCATAGTGTTTAAATATTGATTTGGGTCTCATAAATGGAATATACCGGCATACAATGTTGATTCTGTATCAACTTGAATGGAGCACTGCTCAAGCAAATTTAGCTAAATTTAAGTCTGCAAACACTTAAACTACCGGGCCCAAACGTTGTGGACGAATTTCAAGTTCATTTTCTGCATTGCACGTCCAAAGTTCGATTCCTAGTATTGATAAATCACACGATAGTAGCCAAATGAGCCTGAATGAATCAAAATAGAAAGAAAAAGATGGAAAATGATCATCATCAGATCATTTTCCTAAGGATCATGCGATCGTGATCGTTCATCATACATTGTGCGGTTAATTTTTGTTACGTACTATTGATATTTAATTTTAAATTTTAAATTTTGAAATGATTTATAACTGCATAATGTACGATGAACGGTTACGATTGCGAGATTTCTAAAATCTGATCCTTTTCCCAAAAAGAGGACTCCCAAATTGAGATAGTGAATGCAATGTGCGGAAGTCAACGTTTGGACTGTTTATTAGAGCTGTTGGAGAATCCAATCCTCTCCCAACATACTTTTTTTTACCCTTTTTTGCCTACTTTTTGTTAGGCATCGGTTCTTTTGTTAGCAGCCTCCTTTAAACCGCACGTTCCATACATCCCCACCCACACGCTTTTGCTGCTGTTGTGCTGTTGTATCTCGGTTCTGAAACTCCAACGAACCAGCCGAGTCAGGCATAAATCGCCCCGCCAACCTCCCTCCCTCACTCACCGACGGCAGAGCGAGTCAGAGCGATTCCCAAACTCTGACTCAGTTCTCTGCGCCAGCAAAAGCATTCAATCCTTGTTCTACGCTACTCATCGAAAAATGAGTGCAGTCGTGCAGGTAAATCCATCTCCGTAATTCATCAAACCGCGTTCGTATTTGTTTTGATCTGGATTTGTTTTAGCTTGATTATGATGATGCTTTCGTTGATTAGGGTTTCACCAAGTCACTTGCCATGACTGTGCTCTCGGAGATCGGCGACAAGACCTTCTTCGCCGCCGCGGTTAGTATATACGATTGCAATTTTGTTTCTTTTTACCTTTTGGTTGTTTTTGAATTGTGGAAATTGGAATAACCCTCTAATTACACGCCATGAAGAAAATAGACGAATCGAAAAGAATTTCGGCATGTTAAACTTTATAAATTCAATACTATTAAGAACATCGAGTTTCTGCTGACTTTTTTAGTATATGTATAATTTTTCAGAGGACATATTAAAATTTAAATGTTTTCAGTAGCAACTTGTCGAGCATCATATAGTGTTTATGTATGTTTTTGTATATGCATACACACACACACACACACACACTTGTGCCCGAGTTCCCTTTGCAAAGTCCCTTGGGTACGAAGCGAAACCATAAGGGCCAGAACCACATCTGAAATCCATATTCTTGTATTTGTATACTATTTTTTGAGTAATAATCTAACGGTGCGATGTTTTTTCTTTAAGATCCTTGCGATGCGCCATCCTAGAAGACTTGTTTTGGCCGGTTGCCTAGGAGCTCTGATTGTAAGCATTTCCCTCCCACTTTCATATAGGTGGTGTACTCAGTTGTGTAGATCTTGGATGTTTCTTGTTTGAGGTCTCACATATATCTCAAATTTTTGTTGAGTTTTAGGTGATGACTATTCTTTCTGTTCTCGTCGGCTTGGCTGCTCCAAATCTGGTAAGCACTCTGAATCTGCCACCCTGAAATTGATTTTCGTGGGGTTTGTTTTAAGATCCAAGGGAATTTGCTTTCATGATGTAAGGGTTAATGGTTGTCCCACTTAGAGCGTCGCATAACGTTGGCCAGTTGACATACTTATTAAATGTTAGCTTAACTTGGTGATGTTTTTCTGTTCTGATACGAATACTGAATGCTGATCTTGGATTACAGCTCTCCCGGAAATGGTCCCATCACATAACAACAGTGTTGTTCTTTGGCTTTGGACTATGGTCCTTGTGGGACGCTTTTAAAGAAGATGGGTAATGGATATATATATATATTTTTGGAATTTATTTAACCTTTTTCTATTTGTTGGGGAATTTAATTCTGGTTACCCTACAGGGGTGACGATGAGCTTGCAGAAGTTGAAGCAGAATTGGTTTGTTTCTCAATTTTTATTCCTAGCTTGCATTCAATTCAAATCCTTTCTGACTTCACCCTTTTGGTACCATTAGGATGCTGATCTAAGGGCTAATGCAGGAGGTAGCAAACGTACTAAGGTGCTCCTCACACACACTCTTTCTACCATGTGCAATTTTGAGCTACGGGTTTATGAACGTTTATTAACTTTCAGGATGATGATGACAAGAAGCAGAGACGTTCATTTCTCTTGCAGTTCTTCTCACCGATCTTTTTGAAGGTTTTATCTTCTATGGATTATGAAATTCAAATTTTTGCATGGCTATAACTTAACCGCATCTATCATATGCTCATGCCGCAGGCCTTTTCCATTACATTTTTCGGTGAATGGGGCGACAAGAGCCAGGTGAGCATTTGGCCCATTGAATATATAATCTCATTCATTATTGCTTCAACACGATTTTGTTTTGACCTGCTGTTCTTTCAGCTAGCCACCATCGGTCTGGCGGCAGATGAGAACCCATTAGGCGTGGTTCTTGGTGGAATCTTGTAAGTTTCCATCCTTTATAACCTGAATGGCTTCTGGAATCTTGTAGTCACCGCGCATGCTCATTCTTCTAATTCACTTTTATCCTTTGTAGTTATTCCTTTTATTTTTATTTCTGCCCTATTTACTGATTGTGCTTCCTCTCTTTTTCTCAGAGGACAGGCATTATGCACGACTGCCGCTGTCCTTGGTGGAAAGAGCTTGGCATCTCAGATATCGGAGAAAATAGTAATATACGCCCTGCCTTCGTGCTTAACATAATATAGTTCTCGTTTTTATATATTGTGCCCGTTGGCTCTAGGCAAATATGCGGCATCAAAGTTATAAGTTATAATTGTTTTGTTTCAGGTTGGTTTATCGGGTGGAGTTCTTTTCATTGTTTTCGGAATCCAATCCTTCCTTTCGACAGTGGAGGCTTGATACCCATAGTTTGATTAATGATTGGTAAGTATGTTGACTACATTTCGCACCATATATTATAATTCATAGCAAATGCATGGAATCATCGTCAAAATTTCACAACGAGAAGAATACGATACCTGTTCTAGATTATGTTTTTGATGATGACTCTTCTTCAGGGACTGAAAGATGATTTGTTGACTGAAAAACATACATCTATTCACTGCAAGGAGTAATTTACAAGCATTGTAGCTTCATTGTTTTTACAAGTCTGTACCAATATTGCACTCTGGCATGTTTGGAATTAATTACCGATGAGAACACTTCTGCTATACTTTGTTGTTGCGTGCCATTCCAAATAAATCTATGTTTCCGTTGGTCTCGATATATTTATAAGGAAAACTAATGAAAATGACTTGAAAACTTTTGAGTTTTAACGATAAGAACAAAATAAAGAGTAAAGTGAATAGTACCAGGATTGACGTTTTAGTGTAAAAATATGATTTTTCGTTCAAATGAATGGTACTAGAAGCTTTTCATTAAAATTCCCTAATATTTATATTATCAATGGAAATAGACTCCTGGTTTTAACTCATTTCGATGAATTGTAATTGGACAGGAGTACTCAGGATGATGAAATTGATCAAAATTTCAGAAACAAGGACGTACGCAAAAGATTGTGTTGGAAACACTTGAAAGCGCCTTTTGTTGTCCGAAAGCGCTTTTGACCTTCCCATACGCAAATCCCAAACCAACCCTAAGTTGTTCAAATGTGAAGGAGCAAATTAGGAAAACACTATCCATATAGGTTAACACAGAGTTCAGCAGACCACTGTAACTCAGAAAGATAAACAATGCAATTGCAAAACACTAAAATTAATCCTCTTTTTTATTAAACTACCACCCTCTTGTCTTAATTTGACCACAGGATGACCGCGATTTCATATCAATCGGGGGATTGGGATTATGTACACCATCTAATGCTCGGGTATTCGTCACACCAATTGGATTCTCACCATGCACGTCGTTAGCATCCACCACCTGCAGGTTCAATTGAACTCAGAAGTCCATTGTGTCTCAGTTGCATGCAGTGTTCTTCAGCGTCGGCCTGAGCACATATGATCACTACCGACAAGCCATTGTGGTGTGCTTCTTGCATAATATTCACAGCATTGTCAAGGGTCATCCCCGGGATAACCTTCATCAGTACTTGCACAACATATTCCCGTTTGTTGAAGTTGTCGTTGTGCAGTATTACACGATACGGAGGAGCTGTCTTCCTTGATTTCCTGAACAATTTTGGGCAGTCTAACGTTAACTCTCATCTAATTTTATAAAGGAGAAGAGACACCATGAACTCAAAGGAAAACCGCAAGTACCAAATACAACCGGAACCAGGTGAATGTGAACGGATCATAAGTTTTAATAGTTTGTCGAAATGATCAAGTTTGATGCAACATGATACGCACAGGTACGGCATTGGATAGGAGTGGTGCAAACCCATTTCATGGCATTATGTTAAACAAAGCACTCGTATGGTGTAACGATATAACTTTGTGTTTCCATACCTCAAATCAAACTCAGAATCACGGGCAGGAGTTGCTTTCTCTCTAACTGGCCTTTCCAATAGTCCTCCCCCTTTACCAGGTACCGCTGTTGATACAGCCACCGGAATGCTAAGATTGGTGCATGCTCCTTTACAAAGAGGGTGTCTGTCTCCTGCTCAACACGTTTTATAATAAAAACTCACCAACTGGAATCACTCGGGCATATAATGTTAAAGAATAAATAATCACCATAGAAACACACTATTCATACTAACCAATTTTTTATTGAGACAACATTTAGCAACAGAAAGCGAAAATTCAGAGCATAGCATAATCTAGATTCTAGAACCACCACAACATCTATATGTCTACGAATCTACGGGTTCTGAAAACTCAAATCTTTAGAATTGGATCTCCGATTGCTCGGAAAGATGAAATACAGTGAAATTGTAGCAAAGGCACTCTTAGCCCTGGTATAGATACTAGAGATGCTGGATCTTTAGGACTGCACAACCAACATGTGGATTGCATTAGCATAAATGCATCCGGAGGAAGTGGCAAGTAATCCAGAAGTTGCTGCTCCCATTACTGTTGATCTCACATTAGCGAAAAAGGAAACTCCACCACTCCTAAAACAGAACGCATAGGAAACCCGCCCAAGTTTATACAGAACGCATAGGAAAGATGAAATACAGTGAAATTGTAGCAAAGGCGCTCTTAGCCCAGGTATAGATACTAGAGATGCTGGATCTTTAGGACTGCACAAAAATCCTTGTAACCCTCTTAAGGAAACCAACATGTGGATGGCATTAGCATAAATGCATCCGGAGGCACTGGCAAGTAATCCAGAAGTTGCCGCTCCCATTACTCGATCTTACATTAGTGAAAACGGAAACACCACCACTCCCAAAACAGAACACATAGGAAACCCGCCCAAGTAGTGCACAACGAACTAACTTGCATTGCACTCCCCAATCTGCCCTACCTACATCTTGCAAGATACTGGACAATTTGATATAAATTTTGTTCTAACTGAAAAAGCTTTCGATTTTCGAAAAACTTTCTTGTAACAAAACTTTCAATTCATCAAACAATATAAATGTACACTTACACATACAATTCAAGCAATTACATAATCCTTTGGCAGCATCAACAGAACTATTTGGGAACCACATATACAGCTATATAACAATATGGGGTTTTTCTTGGCACTTCATGTTCTGTGAAAGATGTAGAGCACTCTTCCATTTACACAGGAAAAAGAGACCCATCAGAGAGAATCAATTTTCGAGGCGTATTATACATTAAATTCCATAACTTCAATCAAAAAACAACAAAATCGCTAAAAATTTACAAGAACCAAGCTTTGAATTGAAAAATCCAATAAATCTACTCCTAATAGTACAGATGCTGAAGAAATCAAAGATTTTGACGGAAACCCAAAATCTGAAAAGAGGGAAAGAATTGAGAAAAATGGTGTAGACCTGGTTTGGGGTTGAAGACGTGGTTCGGGGAGAGAGGGATTCTCCCACAAATCGCAGTCTCCATTAATCTTTCTTTTGCGCTGTGCTGCTGCTGCTGCAATGCGTCGTGCGATTTTATTTATTTACTGGATTTTCTGGTTGTGTTTTTAACCGACACAACAAGAAAATCATCGACGAATTGGTGCAGTGCTGTGCTGTTTCTGGTGGGACTTTGCTGGTTTTCGCAATTCACTGAACGTCGTCTTCTAGACCCTACCAAGTACGAATTTTTTTATGAGTGATTAATTAATTATCTTAAATTTATATTCGTTTTGTCAAATTATAAATCCAATTTCTTCACCATATAAATAAATTTAATTTAAAATCAAAATTCTAAATGTAATGGGTGACCACAAGAAAAATCACAACTAGCTACTGATTTCGATGTGTCTATTTATTTAATTTGAGACATGACATATAAGTGTTTCCACTAACTAAGATGGACAATGCAATTACAATTTAATCATGCGGTGAGATATGCACAAATCTTATTTTATTTCTCACACATTTTTTTAATTTTCGGCCGTCGGATTAAATGAATTGAAGAATATCAACGGACAGAAATTATCAAGTGATGTGTGAGAAGTAAAATGAGATGTATAGATAGCACATCCCTTTAATCATCATTAGTGTGATTTGATTTGAAATTTTTGAGACTTAGAGGAATATCCAATCTGAATTGATTTTTTAAATAAACGACATTATCTAAGCCTCGTTAGAAATAATTTAGTTTGAATTTGTTTTTAGCGAGAATCGAATCTATAATCTAACGTAGTACACCTCAATGCACTTTTGATTTTGTTTTGTCAGAATACATTGTGATTCTTGACCATTAAATCCAACTTATAATTCATTATTCGTTGCATATATAAAGAAAAATACTAGAATTTCCGCAATTTGATACTAAATTGTTGCCAGCGTTTGTTCATTTTCTTCTATTTTGGAGTTGCTTTTGTGAAGAACTCCTTTTGAATTTCTCTAGAGGACACTGAATACTTCCTTTCCCAACATTTATGGATTATAAAAAAGAAAAACTAATGAAAAATGTTCAAAAATTTTGAGTTTTAATGATAAGGACAAAATAAAGGGTAAAATGAATAGTACCAAGATTGACTTTTTAGTGTAAAATGTGATTTTTCGTTAAAGTCAACAGTACTGAGAGCTTTTTATTAAAGCTCCCTTATAAAAAGGGAAGTGTTATTAGCACTCCAAAAATCTCATTATACACTTTTCACAAGTGTATTTTTTTTTCCTAATATAAAAAAATTGGAGTGTAGAATAAGATTTTTAGAGTGAGAATAAGTAATAACAATTCCCTGTAAAAAAGAGCACTGTTTTTCGTGGATATGAATCTTCATGACAATTTTTTAGAATAGCACTTACTAAAAGTTAATCCAAAAGAGTATTTTGACTTGATGAAATTGCTTATGGTAAAGCAAATGGACAGCCATTTCTAACATTACAAACCAGAAAACAAGGGAAAATGATGCACGGATTGCTTTGGTAGCTTGATTAATTCTTGGAGGAAGGAGGATAACAGAACATTAATTGATATTAGTCCTTACTAGTTAATCCGCAACTTGGATAATACATAATTTTCGTCCGATTAGTGGCGTAATAATCCGCTTATATATCGTTAATTACGTGTAAAACCGATATGTTGATGCATCAGCAATGATATTACGAAAACCACCAACTGTGGAAGCCAACATGATGAACACTCCAATGAATATGCAAGCCTGCACACACACATTCATCATAAGACATGGATATATTGCTAACTGGTTATGTACCGATGTCGACACTCAATCGTTTACCTATGCCATATCGGACAATAAGGAACATTAGATTCTTTGGCTTACCCAGTTGACGAGCCATTGGATGCTGAATCTCTTTGGTTTCTTAATTCTCAGCCACATTATACAAGGAAGCTGTGGAAAAATGCTCAATTAGTTAGTTAATTTCTTGCTGAGGATGTATTTTTGTAATTTCTGCAATAAGAAACTAAGAAAATAAAAGTGAGAAAGGCTTACAAAGTATGAAGTGGGGGCAAAACCAAATCCACCAAAGAAACCAAGAAGGTCTCCAAAGAAAGGGAAGGTGACTCCAATAAATAATGTAAATGCTGCAACATAGATATAGTAATTGAGGACTTAATTAATTAGGGTTTAATCAACCAGAAATGACAGAGAGAGAGAGACTTAAGGGAAATGGTAATCTCACCAACATAAACTGATCTCGTGATTAGTCTAAGTGCAATTCCAGGTGGGAAGTTTACTTTTTTCATCATCATCCTCTCAAGCATGTCAAAAACAGGCATAGCATAAACCTGCATTTTCAAGTCACATCCTTAATTAGTGTAGTTCTACTAAACCCTTAGTTATTAGAAATCACTTCAGCCCTTCTGAAAGTAGTGCCAAACAGACCAGCTAGAAGTTTTTATAGAGATTTATAAAAGTCATGCCAGAGAGATTCTCATGCAATTAATTAAGATTTAGTTTTACTGGTGCTATCGTCTACCAAATGTTTATCACGTGTTAAAAAATTACCCAATCCATTCAATAAACGATTGACATATGGAAAGTATTAGTGACATGAGAAAATGATGAGAATCTCTCGTGTTGTTGAATGCGAATGCTGACTCGGCAGTTATACCTGGTAGCTGCCAATGACATGGACGACAACCATTAGGTTAGCAGCAGCAATGAGCCATGCGGGTTTCTGAAGATCCATGAGCACGTTATCATCGACATCTTGACCAAAAGCCCAGTACCCGATCAGGGCCACCGGGAAATAGCAAATTGCGTTGATAAAGTAGGCTCCTAGGGCACCTTTCCACATGGGAATTCTCGACGGCTTCTCGGGAGTCGATGGTATTGTGGCCTGGATTTCAAGCGCCACTGCATGCCCGGCAAATGCAAAGGAGATTTGACCTAATGCATTGAAAACCCTAAACATGTAATCTGCAGGGCTTGTTTTCTTGTACGCATAGCTCACGTCTTCAATCCGACCTTTGCTTAAGCAACCTGCCCAGGCTATAGTTGAATAACTGCAAATTAACAACAAATTCAAGTTTTTTAGGTAATATTATTTTTTTTGAAATTAGCCCTGTAAAGTTCTCTTGTTAGGTTTAGGAGTAAGTCTTCGGTAGGACTGCCCTACTTTGGAGTTGGGTGAGATCAAATTAGAACGTTTTCATAATTTTGTGAGATGTGTCTTATGAATAACGTGGTCAGACATCTCTAATCAAGTTTTTCTAGAATTTTAGAAGGGAAATATGCACAGATATTTTAGGAAAAAAAAAAATTGTGTACGGTCACTTTATTATCTATTTCGTGACCCTCTACTTCTAATTTTGATTAAAAATTCGTAACCGATTCTATTTATACACATGTCTCATTTTGGGTTGATTGCTCTAATTGATGCTATCGAACAAAACTATACCCAAACTTGACTCCATTTTGTGTAGGGTATGTAAAAAGGAAATTGACTTGCTCACCCCTCCCTTTTTTTTTAACCGTTGGATTGATCAAACCAAAACAGAATTAAGGACCAAAATTAAAATCGTTTCTTATATATTATACAGTTTGCTATGTCACAAAGTTCCGTTGTATTTTGGCTTTTAACAGATTTTGTTTGCCTAAAGCAAGTTTAAATCAGATTTTTCTTCACATGGAAAGTGAAAAATTAGAGTGAAAATTTAAATTACTACCTTAGTGACATGATGGCTGCTGCTAGAGAAACACCGGCAACAGAGTTGAAATTGGGGAGCTGGGAAAGAAAGAAATGAAGGGAACCAAAGATGAGAATCCAGTACGATTGCTTGACTGGTGTGCAATTGGCACATGCCATCTCCACAAACTTCTTCAGACACTTTCCTCCGGTGACCATGTACACTATGTCACATCCAACCTGCACAATCAGTTGTTGCGGAAGCACAATCCACGGCCCGAGCTTTGGTCCAAAGGCATGCCGGCCGAGGTCTATATATCGGTCGAATCGAGTTCCAGGAACACATTCATGGAGCTGAATCATCTGCCACATTGTGTTCAAGGTCATGCACCACGATATTGCCAGCACCATTGTCCCTGGACCCCTGAGAGAAAAAAGTTGGTAAAAGAATAGGGTTTAATGTATAAGTATACAAAGCAGTGTATTTTCTTTTTGTCGAAACAAAGTAGTGTATTTGGTCTAGGTAAGTTGGGTTGTTCTGTACCATCCTAAGTATGCCATGGCATAAGGCAGGCTGAGTACACCGGCACCGATCATGGCGGTGACGGTGTGAAAGGTGGAGTACCACCATTTGGCTCGGCGGGCGTTGTCCACTGGCTCCTCCCTCCATTTGTTGTCCGCAACAACTTCCTGCCATAGTTTCAAGCATCGACATGAAAAAATTTAGAAAATATATCAGAGTGAAGATCGCAAAAATTGGAAGACCAGATAGCTTTGTGTGAGTAAAGAAAGTGGTGATGCACACCTTTGGAGGAGAAATTGTAACCATTTTGTTTTTCTCTTTCTGCAGTGAAGACAGAAACACTTTCAATGTGGGAGTTGAGTGATCGTCATCGTGTTGTGTGTATATAGTGGTTTGATGGCCCAAAATATGGAATGAGGATCCTCTCTGGATCCTCATTGTTTGGATTTCGAGAATCCTTCAATCATATTCGTTCATCGTATATCGTGCAGTCAGTTTTTCTCAGATACTATTTATATTTAATTTTAAATAAAAAGATTTATAATGATTTCTGACCACACGATATACAATGAACGAATGTGATTAAAAGATCTCTAAATCCTCACAAAGAAGATCCGGAGAGGATCCTCATTCCAAAATATGTGAAGAAATGTGGGATATGTACATTTGCGAGCCCCACTCGTGTAATTATCTTTTGCTTTTCCCGCTGAGACTTGTGCTTTTCCAAGAGTGCTTATCGGATGAGTTGAGCAAAGCATATCAAATAGGCAAAAGCAGTAAATATTTTAGGTTGAGTTAACAAACCGTCTTGTGTATACTTGGCAAAATATGTTAAACCCTCTACTTAAAATTATCTAGAGGGACGCTAGTTAATATTGCAAACAGGATTTTACGAGACCTCACATTTGTCATATTTTGTGAGTAGAAATATATCTCGATTGAACTCTTTTATTAGGTCAGTTTTTAAACAGGTGAGATCAAGGTAGTATTCGATGAAACCTAATGTAAGAAATTCTTTGTGAGATGACTCTAAGGATGATGTGATCGGTGTATTCCTACTCAAGTTTATCTCTATCATTTTATGCATGAATCTAAATATGAAAAATCAGTTTTTTAAAACGAATGTAAACAAATTTTACTCTGATTTTAGCTGAGATAATTAAAATTGTGATTGCATGCACCCCACCCAATTTGATGTTATATACAGAAGGAATCTAATTAAGAGGACCCCATGTTGACAAGCATCATTTCTTTATGCACCCTTGTCAAATTTTCTCTACAGAAAAAAGGCCCTTGTATGCAATTATTTATTTCTACTCCAAGTAGTGAACCAATGATTACTATCACTACACTTAATGCTAAATACATTCTTTTAGACAATTATTGATTTGGTGGGTGAATGTAGCCACCTCAAATTTCAATCACCACAGTCGATAGGCTTTTTAGTTAAGATAGTTATGTCATAACTCTATTCTTTAGTTCATAAAATTTAAAATCGATAAAACTGATCTTTGAGATTGTTCACTGTTAATCACTTTGGTCTTTATGTGACAAATCTCCTATAACTAAAGAAACCACTAGTTCAAAGGAGGAATTGATTTGACAAAAATACCCTCAATTTAATAAAAATTTCTAAAATGATTGATAGCGGATGCTCTCAGGAACTACTTCTATCGTTTTTAAATCTCAAAGACCAAAATGATGAATTTTGTCAATCTCTAAGACCTTTTTGATAAAAAACCCACTTAATACTTAAATACTTAAATAACATTTGCTTTACAAAGAGGGAATAGTAATGATTAAAGGCCAAGGGAAGGGAAGGAATGCTCTTCATCATTCATGTATGGGAGTTGTTGGCGTGGGAGTCGTCTTCTTTCTTGCTTTCGAGTGTCCCCAGTCACTTCGCAATTTGCATGCCCAAAAGCCAAAAGTGATCCGACTGCTAGGCACTGCTCACCACAAAATGAAAGGTTAACAAGTATCGTATCTTTTTTAATTGATCTTATGCTATATCAACGTTATCTTTATATAACAGAGAAATCGAGATACGATACTTACAGATTTTACGATGATTTTTGTAGAATTTTGTAAAACCGATTAAAATAATGCCTCCTAATAGAGCAAATGAACGAGGAGAGTTTATGACGGAAGTTGCAAAGACTCCTCTGCGCGTTGGTTAGGATCGTTTTCTGAGTAATAAGCGAAACAAAAAACTTAACGCTCGAGGGACACTCAAAGACTAGATGAAACTCCAGGCAGAATCCTCATCTGAGCACTTAATCATAAGCAAATTTAACAGTAGAACCTCCATCAGAAGAACCCAAATGCAGGTATCACTTACCAGGCATATTCCCTTCGAAATCAGCCGGGTTACTAATAATCCGACGTACAACATCGGCGTGAAGAACCTGCCCAAAGCATCACAAATTTCTATCCAACGAGTAAACAAAGCTAAGCCACGGTTTCATAAATTTCATTTAAAAAGATAGGCTTCCGAACCTGATTAACTAAAATTCCGATCGTTAGGGGATCACTGGTTGATAGTAAAAGTTATTTATATGCTAGTCCAGGAGTGTTTCTAACGAGTTGAGGCTCTCATTTAACCCATAAAACCCCCTCCAGGCATATTAGGACCTTGTGACGGAACTTTTGTCCCTGTGGAACTAATTGCGATCAGCCTTGAACATAAGTTCGGCCATCCCCATCCCAACCAACTGTTGTTGCTGGTGCTGTTGGTGCGATTGCTGAAGTTGCGTGAGTTGTTGTGATTGAAGTTGTGAGAGCTGCTGCTGTTGAATCTGAGGGTACTGCCGTTGAATCTGTGGATGTTGTTGTTGACTCTGAGGATGCTGTTGCTGCTGACTGGGTACTTGCATTTGTTGCTGTTGTTGCTGACTGGGTACTTGCATGTGGCGGTGTTGTTCACCGCCTACTTGAATTTGTTGCATTTGTTGCATTTGCTGCTGTTGTTCTTGACCGCCTACTTGTGGTTTAAACAATATCATATCCTGAACCGAAGGTAGACTTAGCTTTAACAAAAACCAGGTTGTAAGAAAGTTACCATGCCGATCCACAACCTCATTTGGAGTACCGCCACAGGCCTCCAGTTCAGAAAACAATTTAAACAGAAGTTGCAGGATATGCAGGGAACCTTCAGAATTAAAAGCACCTTGTACAGGCTAGAAAGCTCTTTACTCGACCCCGCAAAATCTTTGCAAAATAAAAGGTCCACTTTGCAGGTTTCTTTTAGTACTGAAGGTACCTCACATATTTGTTGTGGATTTACCAGCTAATAGTTGGCGGCCATAAATACTTAATATTGAAAAAAACTAATGATAAGAAATTACAATCTGCAGTAATAAGAAAGACCCAAGTAAACAACAAGCTCACCCCTGGAAACAGCATTCCATTCAATCTGTATGCTCTGTCTGAAACGGAGAGGAGTAATGTCTGAGAGGGCAATTGGATCACTGCACACTGAAAAAAGTGGGAAATCAGCTTTTTGAGAAGAAGAATAATAGCAGAATTTCATGCGTACATTCGAAGGAAATCTACTGCAGAAGGCCAAATAAAATAGAAAAACTAGCTTTCGATGCTGATGTCTCACAAGGATGATACTAGAATCAAGAATTACCCCACTTCAAGCCAAGAGAGCCAATTAAATGCATAAATTTAGTTTATCACAGCATTCAGAGGTTATTGAGTTTAAACAGATAATTAACTTAAGTTCATATGAGAATGTCACACAGAATCTGAGGAGGTGCTCTGCTAGATCAGAAGCGGCAATAAATTGAATAGCAAATTAGCAACGAGGGCAGTTTTTGAGTGTCGAGGGGAAAAGTGGTAAGTCCTTTTCAAACAGTATAGTTCATTTTATCATCCCTCATCCACATCCATAACAGAAGGCTTGAAAAAAAAAAAAAAAAAGTGCAGCATGATATGACAAATGTCAAAAAATTTGTGAAGAAAATTAAATTGGAAATGTTGGTTACGGTTACAGATAGAATTATCAGGGTGGGGCGGGGAGATGGAGATAGATAGAGATAAAGTAGACAGCTTACAAGTTTCATTTCTTGCAATTTCCCAAGAAACGCATGCTGATTCTTTGCCCGGAAAACTAAAAAGTCTGCCTTTCCAACATATTGCCTGAATGAAGTCAAGAAAACCGAGAAATATAAGATCAGGAGGAAAATATTACACAGAAAAATGGAGAAGGGAATGTTTTCACTGAATGGTAATTACTTGTTATGCATGTGGTCCTCAGATATGAGTCTCACTATTAGCATTGTTGGTGGCCAGTTTGCTGCAAGCCTGAGGAATGAAAAAATAAACAAGAAGTTAAGGTAAAAGATGCTTGAATATGCCAATGACACATTTTACCATAATCATGATATTAAGATTTTATTGTGCACTAAAGCACCAACCAAATAAGCCCAACTAAAGTGTTCCGATCAAAATACATTCAGCATCGTGCCAATAATCATACAGCATCTCAAGACATTAGGATTCTAAGAATGGAGGCAACTAAAATTTTATTTTAACCAAAGAAAAAGACGGCTGCTGTGATAAGGTAGAAATATTAAGTTATAGACACTTTTTTCAAAATAAAAGAATTAAAGTTAAAATAGAAACTTTAAACCATTGATTACATTCCATTAACATACTATTTGAAATAAAAGAAGATAAAGCACACTCCCGACTTACGTCCCAGAAGCTGAAGCACACCCGAAACCCTGATAAAGATAGAAAGCATTTGTGGAGTTAACAAATATTTGAGTAACTGCTAAAATAACAAGCTGACCAAAAGAAATATAAATAACCACGCAGTTAGGCCCTAAAACATGCCTCATCCTGTAGTTTAATTCAGGAAGCTTAGACCCTTATGGTTATCAAATTGTCTATTTAATAGATGTCACTGATGACACACTTAAAATAACTATCTATCCATGGTTCAGTGTTTTCTGCAATTTTTTTCTCCCTCCTCATCATACAAATATATTGAAACTCAAACCAATTGCATAATACTTTTGAATTCAAATCACACTGAAGCACAATCACAAGAAATCATAGAGAATTTGTCTCAGAAAAATTTAAGTATATAAAAAACTATGGTTATCCATGACAGAGACACTGGCTTTGATTCTGTGGAAATTTGGAGTTTTCCCTTCTCCTAGTTTAGCAGTGGAGTTTTGGGTGAAGAGTGGAGTTTGTGGAAATCAAAGAATTGGTGGTGAGATAGTTTCACAAACCAATTTATATGGAAACATACTGAAGATCCTCATGTGCCAGAGCCACATACATTCTTCACTTTTCTCTCAAAAATAAGAGTATCACAAAACAAACGACAGTTTCTATGTCATCCAACGGGGCAATTGAGAACGAACCTCCAATATAGTGATAAACGTAGGCTGCCCATATCTCAGTCCAGCTAAATTTCCCTGCATGTATGTTGATCATTCAAGTATGAGCAAATGTGGAAAACCATATTAAAACAGAGCCGACCATCTTTAAAATTTTCCTGACATTCTAGCTTAAAAAAGTCACCATCAGAAGTTTCCAGTCCAACCGTATCTTTTGAAAAGACCTACCTCCCAGACTTTCACATAGTTGGATTGTGCAGATGCAAGAGCACTTGTTGTCTGTTGTGAGAACGGCACAGATGCTGCTGAACTATTGTTTGCACCAAGTGACTGCATCCCAGACTGCACCTTGTGAGCCATTCCTAGAGTAGGAATCATTGTACCGGTTCCAGAAGAGGCACCAGATGAACCAAGGGCACTCATCATGTTTGATACATGCATTGCCATAGGATTTTGAACCATAGTTTGGAGTCCCATAAAAGTTCCTCCAGTTAAGGCTGCTGCGTTCATAAAGTGTGCTTGAGAGATGTTATTGAGGATGCAACCAACAGGACGCGAGGGATGTGTCATACTGCTCACTAAAGGTTTGAAATCTGGTATACTATCATTAATTGTGGTCATCCCTTGAGAAGCAGAAAATGGCGTAGAGGTCTGCAAGCTCGGGACTGCTTGGGAAGGAGGATGTACACATGGAATGTGTGCAAAACCAGGTCCCATGGAACTTAGGGTACTTGGCTCCTAAACAAGTCATAAGAGAACTCTATATGTATATACACTTTTTTTAATAAAAACAGCATAACAGAACAAAAAAGAACATCTCTTTCCTTTGCACAAAGCATAAAAGTTCAAATGAATGCATAACGAATCTTACAACTTTTACAGTAGCAGGAGGTACATTTCCAACCAATATTGGTTGCCGATTCATAACAGATCCATTCACTAATTTGAAAAAGGGGAAAGGAAAAGAAAGGGTAAGTCTGCAATCAAGCAGGATAAGCAAGAATTAACCATGAAAAATAGGAACAGCCTAGCAATAACAAGCTTAATTGAATAATTCAAACAAGATATAGCCTATTATACTAAGATTTGTAATACATTTAACCTTATAAGTTCATTTGAGTGGTAAGGTGAGCCAATTATTCTTATAAAAGATGTAAAAGGAATTGCAACTACACCTAATTGATACTGAAACATTCATAATTTCAACAACAACAAAAAAGCCAAATAGATGAGTCAAACCAAATCAATAAGTACTTTCATTAACAGAAAAAAATGAACCAAATATTTTGCACTAGAAAAAGACTAGAAGAGACAACATATTGACTGCAAAACCAACCAGAGGGCATAGAAGTTGGAGGCGGCACTGTAACTGAAGCGACAGGAGCTATTTCCATTTTTACAGGACTCTGATTTGAGGGCAAAGTTGTAATTCCCGGACGACTTAACGTAGCACAGGCCTCCATAAAATTCTCTGAGATTAAAACAAGAAAGTGGGGTTCTTTCGCATCACCAATTGGTGGATCTGCCGCTCCAGCGTTGCGCTTTCCCTGCATTGGCAAAGTGGTCACTGTCACGCCAACTTCTTCTAGTGATCTTAAGCCATAGGAAATAAAATATTGAGTCTGGCAATAATAATATCTCCTCCCTTTTGTGTTATCGAACATTCTTTGCAGTTTTATTAATATAAGTAGACAGTCGTTCCATGCATATGAATATGGTACCAGAGGAAACTATATTTTTCATTCATGATAGTCTAAGTGGTTGAGATTAGAATTCAACAACACAAAGTTTTAAAGCTCAACAGAGCACCAAAGAAATAGAGGAAGTTACATTATTGTTGATTTAGCCAGATATACAAATAGTCAAAAGCTATATATATATATATATAATGAATAAGAGATAGAACGTACCGCATTGTATATTGCTCTAAGCTTAGGTAGCTGTTTTGGACAAATGACTGACAGCGAAACTGAGCACTGGATGGAAACTAAGGGCTCATTACTGATGATTTTTGAGAATAGGAACAGCCACCATTAAACTAGGAATAAACAAAAAACTACCTGTGGAAATGATTTAGCAACAGCCTCAGCATCACAAAGATGATTTTCTGTTTGTGCATCAATATTTTCATTTTGCTCCAAATTTTGCATTTGTGGGCGATACACTGGTGTGGGCAGAGCGTGAGGGTTACTCGCAGCAATAAGAACACAATGCTTCTGGCAATCCACGTTTTGTTGATTTTGGCTTCCATTTTGAGCTGTACTGAACATCTGTATTTCACATCAGAAGAATAGTAAATGTTAAGTTTAAAATGTGACTCTAAGAAATGCATTTGAAACACAAAAGTACTGGGACGGTTTTGAACAGCATACCATTATAGCCTCCGAAAGCCCTTCTGCAATTGCAGCATCACCAAAACCACCCCCAGAAAAGGGTATAGCCGAAAGCCAATGCAAGAAGAGATCCACATCTCTTGTCCAGCCACTCCGTCCTACCAGGTAACCTTGACGAAAGGTTGTACAATTATTTTAAAATATTCATATATATATATATATATATATATATATATCTATATTGAGCAAATGCTAGTTACAGTAATGACATAGAATACCTGCAGATCATCTAGGTGAATTGAATTCATAAGAAACAAGGTATGGTACTAGTTAAGTGGTAATTTACCAGATAAAACTTCCATTTCCAGCATAAGTTGTCCTATTGAGGGGTGCTGGAAATGTATAAACTCATGCAAACAAGGGACTGAACTCTTTAAGTGTTTCAGACTTCCAGGCGGTATTGTGTACAAAGAGCCACTACATTACAACAGTCTGTTAATTTTAGACTTCAACTTAAAGCTACTGAAAATCCACCACTTCAAAGGGAATAATTCCATAAAGTTGTGAAAATCACCAAGCAATAATTTGCAAACTTTGAACAACATCCAGCTTAACTTTACAAGGAATTATTTCACTTAGTATAAGATTGAACCCTGTTTACAAAGAACTATTTGACTTAGTGCAAGATTGAATCCTGTCAGTAGGAGGATGGAGGACTAACAAGCATCTTACCCTATAAAAAGTAAAATTCCTAAGGTATATGATCAACCTCATGATGCAATAAGAAATTAACAACACAAGTCATACCTCGGAAAACTAGGAATAAGAAGAATGAAAACTACATACCACAATAAGATCCATGAGTTTTGAATGTGACCAGAGAGAGCTCAAAAGTAGAAGTACAGAGCTTCTGCATCTCAAAAGCCAAATTACGTAATAAGAAAAAAATTACCAAGCTAGAAGTCTTGCAGAGGGAACTAATAATGCTATCTGCCAGTGAAATGTAAGAATGGTTGCCTGTGGTTTGATAAATTGTTGATGTAGTGTACACAAACTATGTACTCAAATTATTAAATGCATGCTATTAACATCTAGTGAAAGAAGGCACAACCACCTACATGTAAACATGTTTAGATATGTAATGAACAATCAACAGTTCTGACAAATGACTTCTGATAAATAATGATAAACATAAAGAATAATCACAAAGTAATGGAAAAAGGTGCATACTTGGCCACTTGACTCCTTGCCACAGAAACTCCTGCAGGGAAAAGATAAATAAAAAAGTGGCATACAGATAGAGTAGTGCATAAAATCCCATGCAAGTTAATGAGCCACAAGTAATGAGAAAAAAATCAATGACAAACTTCATATTTGGTTCTAGGTATAGGAATATTTGGTCAAGATTGTTAATATTCCAAGTATGAACCTTCACTTGAGATATAGTAGCACAGAGTATGTCAATCCAATCAGCTGATGCACGATACTCTGCTTCAAGATACCCAAGGAGTTATACTCTCTCTCCACTGCTAGACCACCAGATGAAAACCAGTTTGCAAATACAACTATTTTTTATTTCGGATCTTCCAAATCATTACCGCAGGAGGTTCGGGCCCATTTTTTTTCTGATCCTTGGATAAAAAGATTCATTCTCTTCATAAAAAATAGGAGGTAGAACCAATAAAGATTTCCTTTTCAATTCATCCCTGGAGTTGAATACCTCATTCAAGAATCCAATGTCAAACCCAAAACGTAAAAATGAGAGGTTTAGCCTACAAGTACAGTATTTGTTCCTAAAGCAGAAAGTTCAGTAATAAAAAACACGGGATAATAACCCCTAGTTGACTCATTAAATCGCTTGTTAGTGTGCATAATTTGAAAGTAAGTTAATCATGATATGTGGAAAATATCTATTTGACCAAGTATAGGACTTATTTTGCATCACATGCCAACAAGAAACAATCCACTGCATGGAGCTCGTCACCGCGGCTAGGTTCCATCAAAATTGATGAGAACTAATTAATTATATATAAATCAATCAAAGTTCAGTTTCCATCAGGATTATATGAAATCAAACTTTGTACATTGTAGAATATGGCAAGGCTGCATATGGTTTCGCGGTTAAGGGTACAGAAATGGGAGATTTCTCCGTTTCACTATACTTGTTTTATCAGATTCTTTCGTAATGAGCAAAAGATTCAAAATTGAACCAAAACTGTATGGTTCCCAGTTAGCTTAACAACTACTCCACACAACCAATTTCAAAGTGAAAATTGAAATTGCAATTAAATTTCAATTCCGAGCCACCAAACGCAGCCGAAACAAGCAGGCACAGAAAATTCTCGTCCCATAACCCTAAAATCACTACGCAAAAAAGTTCAAAAAATAAATCAACCAAACAACAAATCAGCATAAGAAATTTCCTACCTGATGATCTTATCAAGGTAATCGGAGACGATGGTTGCCCAGTAGGGCCTCATGGCGGTAGTTCCTTCAACGGCCACGATCAGCTGCTTCTCCACCATCGTACTGCTCGAAAGGACCGCTGAGAAATTTCAACTGCTTTTGCGATAGGCTGTGGGACGGAAATGTGTGAGAAATTTCAACTGCTTCTCCAACATCGTATACCTATTACTATTTTTGTTTTATATTTATAAATTTATTGAATTAAAATTAAATATGATCAAATATGACAGTAAAAAAAAAATTTCTAACAGTCCAAAACTATGTGTTTGCTCATGTGTCTTGTATTTATACATCTTTATCATGTGTTTCATATTCTTCTATAATTTTCATGTGTTAGTTTAATGATTTTTCAATTTATCATAATTAAATATTTTTAGATTAAAATGTTCATAAAATTAATTTAGGATATGCTACATTTTTTTTAAGTTAGTTAAAAAAATAGCCTAAATTCATTATTTAATAATCTAGAGCTAAAATTTTAGGCCATAAGGGTTTGAGCAGAAAAGCTGTTTCGGGGTTAAAACCAAATTTTTATGGCCTATAAGTTTTAGGTTTTAGGTTTTAGGTCAAGGATTGGAGATAATCTTATGACAGTTGTATCATTCGTTGATTTCGTCTCTTTCTAAGAAAATATTTTTCTTCGTTTATTGAATTCACAAATCTAATTACGAATTTTTTTTTCTTGTTAAGAAAAATTCTACAAGTTAGGTCCATTGAACCACACTTATAGCAGTTGGTTATGTCATTCTTGCTTAATATTCCCTTTATTTCCTGCTATTTTGAATCAATATTAGTGGAAAAATTAAGCATTGTGTTCGGTTGAAGATCAATATTAGGAAAATCTCAAGAAAGACAAGGAAATTTTCTACTATTTTGAGGAAATCTCAAGGATATGAGGGAAGAACTCGCTTATTCACTCATTTTATATATCTTATATGATTACATTCAGCATCAAATATCTTCATTAAAATTGCACATTTCCTTCTAATTTCACATTTAGATTTTGATCTACCCAATGTGATATCCATTACACATCTTATAATGCTTTCTCAATAAAGCAGGTAAATCACAGTAAAATCTTTCTTTTCAGAAGCGAGTCGTAACCCTTGTGCAAAATAGATAGAACTATTTTTTCTTCACGGTCACAATAAGACAGTCTGTTAGTATACAACACTCGTTTATAAAAGACAAATAACTGACTTTATTGACGAGCGCGAGAACAATGCACTTCTAAGAGTTTTTTAAATCGGAATTCAAAGTTAGTGCGTTAAGCAAGCTCGTTTGTTGTAAGGCATTTCCCACCAATTAAAGAAAAATAAGAAACTTGTAAAAATGGCAATTTCTACTATACATTATACATTAAATTTGACAAAACTAAAATACATATCAAACATAAATGTCCGTGACCGGGTGTAGCCCGCGTCCGGTTCTGACGTCCTATAAATATATGAAAACTTAGCCGATAAGGAAACGAAACCGGGAGGCAGGTGATCTCGAAAACGACCCAACGAAGACGCGGCCCATTTGGTCTTTAATAGCCAGCAGGAAACCGCCACACTCCCAACCAATCGGAAGCTGATCGCTACTAGGAATCTTTAGACAATTTGCAGTTCCGTTGGATTGGGATTTTGGATTCGACGAATACGAGAATGCTTAGGATTTTCCGAAGAGCTGTCTAAGGTTTCAGCGCCTTGTCGTAGAACCCAGATACTGTCATCTGGGTTTTGTTGATTCGGCAAAGATGATGCTGCACTTTAATGACCCGGCAAAGTTGAAGACCAAGAAGGTAGCCTTTTTTTTTTTTTTTTTTTCTTTGAGAGTTTGTCTTGAGCTTCTTGTTTTTTTCTTATTGGGGTCGTTGAATTCTGAGCTTATTGCATACCCAGCTGCTCAAATTCTCCATCTTTGCGATTTTGTGCGTAAACCCAGGTGGGTTTTCTGAATTTTTTTGGGGTTAATTAAGAAAACTTTGGGGATTAATTCATATAAGTGCATGTTTCCAATAAATTATTCATCATTGTTAGTTGTTCTTTGTGTAGTTAATGATATTGATACTAATTTCCCAAGTTTTGTGCTGTCAGATCGTGTTCGAGGAGGTTTACGCTGCTCGTGATTCCGCGACACTTGAGCAACTGAAAGAATTGAGCTCTAAGCGCAGAATTCTTGAGGAGTCCATCAATGAGAGCAGCTCCATCAATGGCGCCATTGCAAGAGAAATGTCCGGAGGGCTAACTTCTCGTAATCAACAGGTAATTTTTTGGTATGACACTTGGTATTTCGAAGACGCCTTAGTTTTTACTTGCAGACTAATGCCACTTTATGAAAGTTTTGACATTGGCACTATACCCCCGTTTATAGGCAAATTCTGCCTGCATTCAGGTTCTTTAATTTCGGTATGGATGCATTTTTGTTGAATTTGTGCCACTGTTTTTAGTAATCTAATACTAGTTTAATTCCGTCCTTCAATCTGAATGTATTTCAGGTTGTGAGATAATATTATATGGAGAACTTTTCATGTTTTTAGTACAAATTAATTCCTTCTGTTTGCATCTAGTGAATTATGTAATCCAGTCTCTGATGGCATTTGCTGTCCTGCTATGTCTCAGGTTCTTCACAACCTTGAACTGTATCTTCCCTTGTTGGAAAATTTGATTTTGCACGTTGATCGGGTCAAGAGCCACCACCAGATAGTTCGATGGACTTCAGAACTTAAGATACAATGGACTAGTGCTCTTAGTTCATCTTTTTTCTTTAACTTGATAGGATCGAAATATTTTCAAATCAACAACTTGCGGTTTGAGTTGTGCATGACCCTTTTCCTTTATGGCGCAATCCTTAGGGAGAGGGCATTAGAAGTTCTTCCTGCAGGTAGGGATAGGGCACTAGTGCTCTTACCTTCATTTTTCACTTCTAAGATTTGTATTTTTTTTTTTTTTACTTTTAAGACCAAGGGTGTAAAATTAACTAACTGGTTTCTTCGCACTGTCATAGACCTAGTGCAATCTGCCACATTATTCCGAGAAGCTGCTGGTGTTTTTCATCACCTTGCTCATCAAGTTATTCCTTTTCTACAACACTCATTGATTGGGGAAAGGCCACCAGAAGTTGTCTCATCAGTGTCCGCTGTCATGAGCCTTATTTGTTTGGGCGATGCCCAGGTCAGCCTTCCTTTCCTCGCTAGTTTTCCTTGTTGAGGTTTCGTGACAGAATTGCGGATGTTTGCTTGTTCTTTGTGATAATTTATGTTCGTTATGAAAATGTAACAGGCCGTAACAATTAAAAGGGCCAAAGAGAAGGGTACTACTGTTGGTCTTTTGGCAAAGTTGCACCATGGTATTGTAGAATTGCTAGATGAAGCTGCAGGTGTTTTGCATACAGCAAGGGAATGCAAAGACACTTCTTTGGATGTTGCGGTATGTTTATATTTACAGTTTTATTCTACGATATATTCATCTCAATTTTTGGTGAACAATGCTTGAATGTGTTCACTCTTTCCGGTTTCTGCAGGACTTTATATCATCCTGCAAAATGCTACACGAGTTACAAGCCCAGAAATACTTTGCGGAAACCCTAAAGAGTTCCAACCAAATCGGGGTTGCTGTTGCAGTTCTTCGATTCACACTGACTAATGTGAAAAAGAACATGCCGGGCAAAGAATCGTGGAAGTCTGTTATCAAAGAGGAAATTGACAATTTTTCCGAATTGCTCAGAAAGCACGAACATGAAAACGAATTTGTTTGGCACGAGAAAGTCCCCTCGGAGGAAACGTTGTTGCCAAAACCCGAAGGTAACAAAATCGCAAACATAATCCCTTATCAACCGAAAACATGGGAAAGGCAGCTTACCTTCAAGATTTGAGTGTACAAAGAGAAGCCAGTTCTTGTAAAGTATGTCCTGTCTCAGGCAAAGCAACTCAAAATTAAGATTACTAGGTTAAGATTTGTGGCTTCCGCGTTCAATTTGTTGACACACAGGGGTGGTAGAAACGTTTTAAGTGTTGCTCCCTCGGTTACACAAAACATGTAACGTTTTTGAGATTTGATTAGAGGAAGGTTTTGCTGGTTTGTTGAGCTGCATGTTCTAATACTTTTTTGTGTAATTGGTGCCTATAGCCTATAGGGTTGCAACTTTTTAATGGATTTCTCCTACAAAATATCTGTAACTTGTGCATTACATAACGGTGTGATAGTCACACTAAATAATTACTCAAACTCACACTTCATTGCTTCTCCTTTTTGGCTTATTTTCATCATAATTGTGAAAGAAAAAAAAAGACTAATTCTAGTGTGTTTACCAAACACTAAAGAGACTCCAACTTTTTCTAATAACTGCTTTTTTTAGAAGCTGTACCAAATTGGCACTAAATACTTCAACTCATGCTTCACGAGAGCACTTCTTTAAGCATATTTTAATAAAAAAAATTAAAGAGAGGATTCAAATTCTATTTTAAACTAATTTAAATTACAATATAAAGATTTAAATTGAAAAATATGTTCGTTTCGGGCAATGCAAGTGCAACTAATTTGGTTTCATTCTTTGGTAATGCAATGACCCAAAATTAGAATAATAATACTAAAAACTTGCATTTACTTAGAAATTAGAAGGAAAAAAAAATTAGTAATTATTAATTAAATTTCATGTTGTTGTGGGTGAGCCCGTGGCAAGTGGCAGCTTAAAATCCAATTGAATTATTTTAAGGAATTTAATTTAAATTAATAATAAAGTAATCAACTTTGCAATTCGCGGGAAGAACATCGCCATGGCGGCCGCTGCTCAGTGCAGCTCTCTTCTCTACTCCTGCAGCAGACGACCATGCACAACCAGAACACCCTTATCCCTTTTCTCCCCCTCTCACTTTCTCTCTCCTTTCACCGCCACTCCCATCGCGCAAGCCCCAAACAATTGAAGCTTTCGACTTCCAGGTTCTCTCTCTCTCTCTCTCTCTCTCTCTCTCTCTCTCAGAGACCTGAATTGTCAATTTAAATACATATTTTCAGGACTGGTAGGGTTGTTTCCGCTGTGGTTTCTGCAGAAAACACAGTTCAATCGAGCTTCTCTGGCACTGATGGGTTCAAGCTCACTTATTTGGAGGTGGGTTTTCAATTTTCTTATCAGTACTTCCTAAATTTGATTAATTTTGGTGGGTAATTTGGATTTGGAATCCCCTGG